CCTCTGAAACGTTGGTAAACATCGACCAGACTACACAGCGCAACAACCCAGAATACAGAAATCTTTATACTCCCCGCTGTGAAAACCTCAAATATTACATGTCTCAGAGTATTTTGCGTTACGGATAGTGCCTTTTACGGCAGAAGTGGGTATGACGAGACAAGTAAATGAAGACCAGGACACGGATATTATGAAGAGAATGGTAGCATACATATAATTTATTAATATTTATAAATGGTACAATAAGTCAAAGGGTTTTGGAGGGAGAGGATCTGTATTAATCCAGACGCCTTCAAACGTAATGTATGGCGTCTGTTCAGACAGAAAGAAGGGTTGATTGTGCACGTGGCATGCTGGGAAATGTTGCGTGTAGGTAGAAAAGTGATCAGTGTCAGAGACGAGGTGTAAGGGAGGGAATGGGGAGGGAATAACGACGCTGAACAGATGGAAACATGGCAAAACTAAGGAAAAAGTATGATTTCCTGGATGAAATGCGCTGTACGACATAAATTAATGACGGAGGGAGAAAGGAAGAAATGGTAATAAAAGATTGAGGATAGGATCATACAATTGCTTGACAAGAAACTGGCGCAGAATTGGTGTGCATGTATTAGAAATTTCATCTAAGTCAAGAAACATTATTCAAAGGTAGAACCAATGACGGGAAGATGGTATTTAAACAGATTTTTATGTAAATTAGAACTGGGGAGGGGACTATTTTTTAGTGAAAGAGATTTTGGGAAGAATTTTGGTGGTTTAAGTGAGAAGAAAAATTGAAGAGAGATGATCAATTTCTTTGTTTTGTATTTTACCCATCGTGTTTTGAATGTTTTCTTAGAAAGTCTTAAAAAATCACTACGATTCCAAGGATTGGTCTACAGATAACAGGGGGAAGTCAACTTCTCTGATATATCCGGTAGATCGAGCTATTCCCGGCGGGGAATAAGTTTTTTATTCAAAGAAAGCATTCTACAGATGATGGATGCACAAAACAAAGAAACCTGAGATCTAATACCATCGTCACAGACATCCATAGAAGATTTTTGTACCTTTATAAAAATGATAAAGTTAAAGAGTATGTGGGATTCACCGATACCCAGTGGAGTTCTGACTGAATTACGTGAGGACCTGGATATTGCAAGAGTTGTAACCTAATGAACAGGTCACATATTTTGCATTCGCAAGATACTAGAGGGAAAGTAGAAGCACAATGGTACAGTCCATGAACTATTTATAGACTTTAAGAAAGCCTCAGTTAAAAGAGAAACTCTATAGAACATTTTGCTTGAATCTGGTTTACCTAAGAAGTCAGTCAGGTAATTAAAACGTGTTTAATTGAAACGTCTAGCAAAATTCATGTATGTATTTTGTCTTAGAAAATGCCATCAGGAGAGTCCAAGAAAATCAGGGGGGTTCAGAACTGAATGGGACACATTAGGTTTTGGTCTGTGATGATGATATTAGTCTGTTGGGAGATAATGTCACTATAAAAGCGAACATAGAAGCACTCTTAGCTAGTAGGGATGTTGGTCTAGAAATAAATTAAGAAAATACAAAGTACATTATCATGTCTCGGCATCAGAATTCAGGACAGAACCAGAATATAAGAATAGCAAACGAATCGCTCGGAAATGTTACAAAATTAGTAATTGGGGACGACATTAACAAGCCAGAATGACGTTCATGACGAATCTAGAGCAGAAGTAAAATATAATTTTAAACTTAATCTTAAAATTGTACTCACCCTCATGTGATTACTTATTGGACCAGGATAGAACGTTGTATCGCACGTAGTTGATATTCATTGGGTTGCGATCTATCGGGAGAGGGTGAAATACCATTAGCATACAGCACAGGGTCGTGTCATGTCAGTCAGCGCCATTTTGTGGTTACAGTTTCTGAAATAATCACCCATGCTGGATTTTGATACTACATTTTACAAATTTTTCTCAACTTCCATTGAAGGTAGGACCTATTCATTATTCATATTCACTTTGTTGAATGATGTATGTTACAAGGTGTCTTCTTGAAAATCTTAAGCACAATATTTTTATTTATTTTTATGATGTCATTTTTGGTAGGGCAATCCTAATTTGAAAGACTATACTCGGGACAGGATGGGGTACCCAGAGAAGAGGATCAAATGACAAATGCCTGTAATGTGGCGATGTCTATTCGCAGTCTATTGAACTGTGCTTGAAATGGGCCCATAACTCATGTGCAGGTGTTGGTAGTCACGATGATGAAGAGGTGCACATGTGTGCCGTCTGCATTAGGCCTAAGTACATTTCAAAAGTTTCGATATTTTTCATTGTAAACTAAATAATTTTTTTATCCTACGTCATAATTATTAGATAATTATTAATAGATCTGTGTCTTTTTACAACTTTTCAAACATATATCAACCATACTCCGTCTTGCCCCGGGCACGCGACAGAATGGGGCAAGTTACTTTTTTGTAAAGAAATTAATATTTTTAAAAAACTGTAACGCTTAGAACTAAACTAATAACTCATTATAAATTTCAAATATAAAATAAATCAACACAAGGTTCCTCCATGTGTTTATCTTTATTAGTGTCCCTTCCACATGCCTCCAAAAATTATGTTCCACGTTCTGCCCTGGGCTCCCCTACATCACTAAAACTAGCTTCCTCCCAGATCGATGCAAAATGTTGCATATACCTTCGTACAATGTTGTCCACATCTGTCCTCACATCATCACATTAATTGAAAAGGAAGAAAACATACATTTATATTTCTTGGGTAAGAAACAAAGTGGAAAGATATTCTTTGAAATTTTAAACATCGCACTACAGATCCCAGGGCAAGTCAGAAAATGCATTCCCATGTATTTTTATTTATCACACTGAACAATATTTCAAATAGCTGGAAATCTGAACCTGCTACCTTTATTTTCTGTATACAGACAAGCTATGAGAAATTTAGTAAAGTTTGTTCTGAACTTCATGTGAAGTATGGACTTTGAACACAAATATTTACAAAAATGGTAATAAGCCACATTAATACGAGCTACCATAAGCGTGGCCCCACTATCATTTGTGGTGAATGGTACACAAGTTATAATCTAAAGAAATGCACCACGATAAATGACCTTCTCATCAGCAAACTGATTATAACAAAGCAAGACCCTTCAAAACTCAACTTGTAACTTCACGTACACCAAATTTTATTATTATTAATAATAATAATAATAGTAAGCAGTACCTACACTTCTATTTCATTGCATAATTTCTAACAGTCCCTTAGTACACTGTTAGAATCTGTTTTGAGCTTCCAAAACAGCTGAATATCATAGAGCACCAGATGCCTTTGATATAAATTTGTATGATATCAGAGTTACATAAAACATTGCTCTTTGCTGGTACAACCTTTTTAAGCATCTTCTAAACAAAGTGAAAAATTTGGGCTCCGGCATAGTATGACTTGCCTACCAGTCATTTATTTCAAGACAAAAATATATATTTACTAAACCAATGCGGTAAATTACGAATTTGACAAAAACAGTGTCTCTCTGTATGCCATGTCAGACAATTGGAAAGTAAAACATTTGGACCTCTGACATTAAATACTTTAACAAGAAATATTTACTATGCAGTAACAACAGAATAAAACAGGTCTCCATGGACTACACAGAATGCAATTTAAACCTTAACTCCTTTTGCGAGTGTCATTAAATATTACAGAACTGTGATATATGATTACGGGACGGTTTATCGCTGCTTTATAAAAGTACTGAAATAACATCTACTTACCTGGAAACATCAGACCCAGACATTTTTCTCTAAATGAATAACAATTCATACGATATATGAAACCTCAAATTTTAAAACAGATTTATTTCGAAATTCAATAATTTGATTGGTGAAAAGGACAGACTTTCATTGGCAGAATTTAAGACATCAACCACAGATTGTCATTATGATCGAATGGGTTAAGTCAGAGGTAATTTTATTCTGTAGGTATCTGTGTTTGAATCCTGGGTAGTGCACAGACCGTTCTGACTACGATTTTCGATGATTTTCCTCAGTATATCCAAGCGTATGCTGAAATTATATTTCTATAACATGGAGTGATTGCCATTGGTTGGCATTTCTCATTGATATTCAAAATGACCCGGATTCAAACATCGGCTCAGAGACAGGTTATACTAATTCGGGCCTTTCGAGGTTTTCCTCTACTCCCTACAGACGAATGCTAGGATAGTACCTTAAATTAGACCATTGTGGCTTCGTTCCTTACTCATTCAGTTCGTTGTTTATTTGTTCAGTCGCTCTTGGTGGGTGTAATGGGAGCGCCATTAAACAAATTGAGAAGAGAGAAGAAATGGGCCGATTCCTTCCTGATCCTTTGTGTTCATCATACCTCTCATGACTTTTGGTGCCAGATAGCGTCTGCGGCTGATGTAGTAAAAGTAACACAAAAGAAGAATTGATGGAGCAGGGACTTCGATTTCAGGTGCAGTCAGCATTGCGGGCGGTGGATTTCTTGTTCCTCGCATTGTTTATTCTATTAGTGTCCGCATTGCTCAGTTGTTGTTATCGATGTCGAGGGATTCAAGTCACGAACTTAGTTTCTTAAAATAATTTCACAACAAAATTTTATTTCTTTGTAATGAAAATACATGATACAGGTCTATCTTTTGTATCGTCGGGTCGGAGTCGACCCCTAGTGACATTATGAACAGGATTCTTCCATCCTCTTCAGGTTGACAGGGACCTGTTCATATGCTTTATAGGCAGATGATCCA